GAGTGGAGAATTGTAACATTTGAAATTTTTTTGTATTCTCTTTATGGCTTGCACTTAGGAGTACTTAAATGCAATTTCAGCTAATTGCAGCTGCTGATTGGCTGGATAAGCGCATATTTTATATACTTATATTGACCCAGTGCACACAGCTCCCAGAGACTCCCACCGCGGATGACTTGCCGGAAGCAGAAGCAGCTCAATTATAAAGGCAGAGATGAAAGACTTAATACCCTAAGAGCTTCAGCAGTGAAGATAGTCATCAATATGGATACCGAAAATTAAAAAAAAAAAACACAAGTTATAAAAATTTAGTATATATTAAATATATTTTGTAAATTAAAAAAAAATTTTAATTAAAAAAAAATTAATATAAATTGAATATTTATTTAAATTTAACTAAAAAATAACAAGTTTAATTTACACATAAAAATACGTATAAATTATTATGAAAATAATTATGTTAGAACATTATTATTATTTGTTATTATCATCAAATACAGATATCGCCTAGATTTTTAATAGATGATCTTTAAGTTGCAGTGATATTCACTTTAAAATATTTTTATAGATTTTAAATATAAATTTTAAATAAAATAATATGGTAGACATCATCTAAATATAAATAATCCAATCTACAATTCGTTACATATTTAATATTTATTCGCACAATACTCTAGCTTCTAAGGTGGATTAGGCACATTCACTTTGCGTGTGGCCAAATGCAGTTTCAATCGCCCTCGCTTCGAAAATATGTATAATAAAAAAAAGTGCCAAACAATTGCGACTAATGCGAGCGATTTCTCATTGTTGTGAGTGTTTGATTTGTGGTTCCACAAATTTCGATTGTTTGCTTTCGATTGTTTAAAGAAAGTGCTCCGTCTGCCAGCTAAATAAGCAGCGGGCCATTGTCTGAGCCCGGCCTATGCGCCCACTGGCCATTAATAGGCCATTTGCGATGCAAAATGTCATCCTTTGTGTGTGAGTGTGTGGGTGTGAGTGTATGTGTGTGTGTGGCAATGGTAGCCATATCCGGAGCATTTCATTTGTATGCCACTCACCCAGTGATCTCCATTGATAGCGCCTGAAATTGAGAGTGAAATAATTTGGAATTTCACACAATTGCCACCCAAAAATTATTTCTCGATTTATTTATTGTGTCATTGCAAATATCGTTTTCATTTATAATGATTTTTGATTTTTGTTTTCAATGATGCGACGTTTCCATTGTCCGCTCTTCTTCGCTGGAAATCAATTGTTGCAATTGTTATATATAATTTCGACTATTTATCTGCTCTAATTTCGTGGCGCTACCTTTGCGAATCGCCGCAGGCGCGTGTTGTAAATGGAAGCGGGAGCTTAGGGAATTACGCATTGCCTTTGTTCAGTATTACATAAACATCAGTGCTGAACTTTCAGAAAGATTATTAATGGAAAGGTAGGCGCAAAAATTTGGCCAAATAATAATAATTGTTTAATAATTATTAAAGTAGGCCAATTAAATTCTTTTTCCAAATGATGAAACGTTAGTTTACTTTCAGATCGGATGACCCAATCAAAAGCTATACAGTTATACTCTCAAGTCTGACAGTTATATATATACATATAGAACTGAATAGCAATGTTATGCAATAGACTAACAAAATGTTAGATAATCTTCCATTTTAATGATAAATCATAGTTAGAATTTGCTTAAATTTGAATGCAAATAACTCCATTTGAATATTTTTGTGTGCCAAAGAAAGGGTTGAGTGAACTCTGTAAAACCCTAAATGAAAACACGCATAAGCTAGTTTCATATGCATTTATTCAAATACAAACACAATAAAAATAAACACTAAATTATTCAGATATGCAAAGCATCTGTTTGGGGCCCAGTTCGAAACCTGCCGTTGGTCTGAAAATTAATAGACGCTCGCATCAAAACTTGTGCGGAATATGAAAAACTAGACGAGCTGACAAGCAGCTACCGTTCAACATCAGAAGAAACACCTCGCTTCGTCTTGGAACTGGAAAAATTGTTTTATGTGTGCACAAATAAATTAACCATGATTAATTGAAAGGTCAAGCGATGAGCAGCAGCTGTGAAGTGCATAAAGACCTGAGCTGAGACCAGAGAGCTTAGAGCTGGAAGCTGTGAAGACTTCATCAAGGCAGTGCCTCAGCGACTCTGCGTTAATTGGCAATTGTTGAATCTGTCTCGCGGATGCGCGCAGACAGCGCAGACAATTTGTCCGGTATGCCGGATGACCTTCGATGAACTGCGGACGGACAATCGGGATAGACAGTACAGGTTTTTGGCCACTTAAAGAACTAGACTTATAATTAATTAGATGCCGGCGATTGAAGTGCATAGAAAATTAAGCTGCAATTAACACAGAGACTCGCTGAAGCTCTCTGAAATACCCTGTTTCTCAAATGTGAAAGGTATACAGAGCCGTACCTGACTTCCTGGTCATACTATATTTTTGTATATATAAAATATGATTATTTGAATACCATACTTTTATTTAATTGGTCTCTTTCATCCAACATTTGATGAACAGTGTATGTGGCAGTCGAGCACTACCCAGCACCTGCTAAAATGTTACTTGCTTTTTTATTATTCTATGTCGGCTGCCTTGTAAAACGGCTGTCAATAATAATTAATATAACCTAAGTTGATGCCAGGCATCAGCTCCGAAAAGGTCATTAAGTCACGACAGGTAGCCGAAAATAATTTCTTATAGAATCTCAGCTGAGGCAGCGAAAACATAAATTGATGTTGGACCATTAATTAAATGCCAGACTCGGAGACTCCACTTTCGAAAGATCTGCGACTTGCCAAACACTCAAAGCCCGCCGAGAGGCGTAAAATTAGCCATGATCAAAGAATGGTCGAAAAAAGAATGGTCCAGAGACCAAAAGAACCATTCGGGCCGGGTTGGGCTTAACTTAACAACTAATTAGCTGACGATAACTTTCAATTTAATGGACTTCTATTTTCTATTTTCTTTAATTCTAATTTACGCTGGCCAATGACAGCTGCGTTTCTATAGGAATTCCATGAAGACAACAAAAGCCTAATACGAAATTAATCTATTGGCAATGAGAGTTATAAGGAATCACAAACAAACAAAATACTTTGCATACCTCAAGAAACAAAGGAAGGGTATAACGCTTATAAATGACACTCTTATGAAATGTATATTTTTATTTTAGTATAAAAGAGTTATGCAATGCTGAAGTAAACTTATGCAAGTCTTCAAGAAAGTTCGTGGTATTGCTCAGGGTAGCTCCCAGTCGATCAATCCAGATAAGATCATTCTTATTTCTTTTCCCTACTCAAGTGAGTTTTTGACCTTGACTTTGGGTTATGTAATCAGCATATTGATTCTGTTGAGTTCATAGCAAATGATTGATGGCTCGGGGGAAAACAAATCATTCATATATATAGACAGAGTTTGCTATAATAACTTTCCCTGTAAAAGCGAGTTTTCAACTATTCGAAAATAAAACCTGTGAAGTTTATATTCTTTCTTCAGTCCCATTCGGCAGCTGACACACCTGCCACCCACAGAGCTAAGGCAATTTGCAATGAAAGCAATTGCAAAGAGGAACTGCACAGACCCACATTAAATTGTAGACAGGTGTTTGCTTAAAGCCAAGCTAAGCATTCGCAATTGTTACCTGGTTGTCAGCCAATTTCGTGGGGTCTAGCCAATCTCTGGCTGCTGCTGGGCTGCCAGCTGCGCCACGTGGCACCCGTATATGGGCACAACACGAGCTGGCCCCCACACTTTAAGTGGCCAAGCCATCGATTATCCATCATCAATTATCCAGATATGCAAAAATTCTGAGCCCCAGCCCCAATCGCAAGTGAACTTTAGCAGCTACCAAGCGCTGACTCTACCCCCCGCCTGCAGCTGATGCGAGCAAGTCGACAATTATGCTGGCTGCATGTTTATTTTGGGCTCCCTTGTCGCTTGACTCGGCCAAGTTGTTGTAATTTTGGTTATAAAACAAACACAAATGACATTATTCGCACGAAAACAGGATGACAGTGGGACGTGGGACGTGGGACGTGCGACATGGAACCTGAGGCTACAGTTGCAACTGCGGCAGCTGTTGCCGCACGACTTTCTTCTTTAGCTTCTTCGTTGCAGCAGCAGCAACAGCAGCAACAACAACTACAACAATCAATTCGACAGCGACGACATTTGCGCAGGCGCCTTTGTTGCGCTTTAACTTCCGGAAATCACGTTGCCTGTGATAATGTCTTGTTGTTGTTTGTTTCTTAACTTTTTTAAGGAACGGTACAACAAATATAAAAACAAAAAGCAAACATTGACGTTGTGCACGCGAGCAAAATTACAAAACTAACACAAATTTCAAGTTGTTAACTCTTTTTTTTTTTTCAATTTGCAAAGAGAAATACCTTCAAGAAACACAGGCTGATTACTTAATGCGGTCACATAATATGGGAAAAAGCCAAGATTCTTTTGAAAATAGAGCTGCAGCACAGGCGAATGGTCTGCTCTATTAGCCCCAATCAAACAAGAACTAACATAAACAAAAGTGTTTTCAAAATCATCCATTTTATTCTCACCATTTGCAACGAGCCTTCTGCAAGTCAATGATTTGGCAACTAATGCGAATATAATTAATGGGGCAGCTAGAGCACCAACTGACGCCCCATTTTACTGGCAGTCGGCACTCCCAGAAGAGCCATGGGGCTAATGTCAGAGGCAATTGACTTGGGCTCGAGCTGGGGCTGTCTGCAGTTGCCAGACATTCTTGATTCATACGGCAGCCAAACGGCCTTCCAAAGTGGCAATCAATTTTTTTCTTCTTCTTCTTTTTTTAAGACGTCGCGGCGGCTGCTCTTAAGCAAAAGAGTTAACCACGTGTTGGAGTGGTGTTGAAATGTGATGATCCAACGGCAAGTCGCTCGCTCGTTACCTTAACGGCATTTGACCCCCAAGCGCTTTGAGCGTCAGCCACGTTTCCTTTGCCGGGCCGGGCCTATTCATTTCTTTGGTTATCAAATGAAAAAAAGCAAAAACAGAAACGACAAAGAAAAAGAGCAGCCATGGCTAGCCCAAAACAATATGTTTTTCTATATGCCTTATTTTCTGCACAAATCACTTGACCTTAAGCATTGTTGTAATTTATTTGTCGTTTCCCACACATACACGTGCACACACATATATACAGACAGACATCGCTTTTTAGAAGCTCAAAGCTGGGTAAACTGTATTACGACAATTTTTATTTTTTTGGTTTAGCTTTTTTTTGGGTTAGTCGGGCTTTGGGTCTCCGTGGAGTCGCTTTGTGGACTGATTGTGCAACGATTCCCTGTCTGCTATTGTTGCGGCCCGGGCTGCCGCTGCTTATCAGCACTTGGCTTGCACTTAAATTGCACTCGCAGCCTATGCACTGGGTGATATAACAGCCAGCGTAATTGAATGCCAGCAGCCATTGAAAGAGGTTTCAAAAATTACTCTAAAGAAATCCAAATAATCGGGGATTTGGAAAAGACTCGTCTGCTTAATAGTTCTTACTTTTGTTACTCTTTCCGCTGCATTACAAACATTTTCCGGTTATTAAATTTAAGTATCCATAATTAAGTATTGCTGCAGAGTCCAAAAACATACATTAGAATTGAAAATTGGAAAACATAGAGACTTAAGTGATTGTAAGTTACTGGAGCATCAGTCAAAGTAGACAAAGTTTAAATGACAGATTCGGAGGTACAGATACAGAGATAGATACACAGAGATACAGATACAGACATACAGATACAGAGATACACAGATACAGAAATACAGAGATACAAAGATACAGAGATACAGAGACACAGAGATACAGAGATACAGAGATACAGATATACAGAGATACAGAGATACAGAGATACAGAGATACAGAGATACAGAGATACAGA